TAATTGCCAAGTACCATTCACCTTCGAACAGTCAAGAGACAGAATTGCCTGTCAAGTGGGTCATTCCTGACCATGTTTTGGTATACTGATGAAAATAAACTAAATTTTTGTTTTGCTGTGGTTTCTACTAATTAAAAACAATTTTTTTACTCCAGTGTAAGTAACATTGGTGGGCATTTTAATACCTCATCCCTTTGCAGATTGGTTCATATCCTCCACTGTTAACTCTACTTTGGTGAATAATTATCAATTACTATATTGTTACTTATTATTAATATAATTACTCTTGAGGGAACTCCAATGAACAGAGATGAAAGCCAAAAGAACAAGGCCGGGTTGTTCAAAAGAGGGTTAAGAAAACCCAGGGTTAGTGTGAAATTTAATCACAGATCAAAGTGCTTTAAAATAATTTGATGACTGAATGCTCTAAAAAGAACTGGGCCCAGAGTGTTATTTATTTGATGGTTCTATAATTATATGCAGTGTGTATACATATACTGTTCTTCATTTTTTAAAACACCTTCAGCCGTAGTTGTCATCCAAAATGCAACAGTGCACGACTTAAAGAGGGCAATACAAAGACACATCTCACTTAAAATTTCCAGGGAAGGAGGCCTAAATGTTGTCTCCTGGTAAGTGGATTTAAGAAATTTAATCGTGTTAATTTTACCCTGTCACGTACTATTTTCTATATTAAGCAGGTTGTTTTCCTTTAACATTAATATCTCCTTCCTAAGCTTTCAGTCCTCTGTACACTGCCCACAAAAATAAACATTGAGGTAAAATATTTAGCCAAATTCAAGATAGTTTAGAATTCAGTCTAATTAAAGAAAGGTTAAATTTTGTCCAAAAAAAATGAGGCCCTATTATTTTACATAGTTTGATATTTCTGATTGGTTTAATCAGATAGCCATTACACACTGTACTTTCAAGATCAACATATCAGCTTACCACTTTGTGTGTGCTATACATCGTTATATTATTTTTACACTCTGTAGCCTTGAAAATTTGGTATGGAATCAAACAACATACTCTAATTTTCATTTCATCTCATTCGCTTTGTTAACTTGAAAACTTGTTGAATTTTATAGTAGAACACTCACGCTTGTGGCAAAGGGTTATAAAATAAATATTAACTTGACCTGTTTAACTTATATGCAATGCTAAAACATCTGAGTATAGAGATACAAAAATTGAAATTCCTGCAGCATGGATACTTACTATCAAAAAGCATCTGATCAGTGTGCAAGTGACTGGTGACAACGTAGATGTTACCACAATATCAGTTTATGAGCCAAACTGGCAGGCTGGCTATTGGAAACTGAAAACCACTAGCCAAAACTAAATTTCCACTATTCTGTGGCTAGTTGCGGCTATATGTACAGTTAGTGTTGAGTCCTGTAATTACATGGCGTTTGTACTGCTAGTCACTTAAAATCTCCTGTTTGTTTTGTATTGAAGCTGGGAAGAGCTTCATTCAATTGGGAGCCATGAGGCTTGTAATTCTTCTTTCTCCTCACTTTATTTGTTAGACTAATAGCTTATTATTAAATACTGGATCATTGGATTAAATGCAATTCGAGACTTTTTATTGGCTTAGCCATTATGGTATATAAGCCAGTATACCATAATCTAATATCTTTACATTGTAACATCCGGTTTCTTCTTACAAAATAAAGTCGAGAAGATTTGTCTAACATCTTGGGGGCGTTTTTTTTTTTTTTAATAAAACAATTATTATCCATAGGTATGCAGACTGGTATGGTAGATGATGATGGTGGTATAGTCTCGGATGACCCACGCCATAATACAGACATAAGCAGTTTAGTATCTTTTGATGCAGGTATGACTTTATCACTTATTAATTATAAGGCAAGAAATTCTAGAGATTTGATTGGTTGACAGCAATTCACCATTACATTGTAATTGTGGTATAATGGCAAAAATGGATGGTATAACAAGGTTACGAATGACAACACGGTGAGGAAAGATTTTTATGAATGGGCTGATGCCTGTGTTTGTCTTTCAAATTGCAACAAAATAAAGGTCTCCCGTATGTGCATTACCAAAATTTTCCTGACTTCTATTATAAACAAATAATAGCATGACTTATGAGTGGTATTTGTCAATAATACTGGCCCATTAATATCAATTTTCAAAATTTTCCAAATATCATGCACTCACCCCTTCATGGTATGCCGTATTTTGGACAATTTTGGAAGATCACTTGAAAGTGGTATTACTGCAAAATACCACAAGTCATGCTATTACCTACTATGAGATGCAATGAATATATGAAGTTCATATATTTTGAACTGCGGTATTAGATACCTAAGATGTGTGATCCTCGCAGTAGATAGCGCTATTTGTGCAATAGTGAAAATCAGACCTCTGACCACTGACCACTGACCTCAGACCACTGACCTCTGCGATACTAGTGCAGCACTCTACCAATTGAGCAAAAAAAGAAAAAATCAGGCCTGTACGGGACTCGAACCACTGACCTCTGCGATACTAGTGCAGTGCTCTACCAATTGAGCTAACAGATCAATCCGTGAAAGTGATAAATGAGATGCAATGAATATATGAAGTTCATATATTTTGAACTGCGGTATTAGATACGTATGATGTGCGATCCTTGCATTAGATAGTGCTATTTATGCAATAGCAAAAATCAGGCCTGATTTTTTTCAGGTCTGATTTTCGCCATTGCATAAATAGCGCTATCTAGTGCGACAATCGCACATCATACGTATTACCTACTATATTACCTAGTACAGCTGAATTATAGATACTTACCTGACTGTGTTTGGATGTGTTGATTTGTAGCAAGTGTAGTTCTTCCCTCAACCTCTGTATTCATGGAACCTCATAATCATTATGATGTTTATATACATGCTAAGCTAAGTAATATAATTATAATTATAGCACTATAAATAAAAGAAATTTCATTCCTGGTAATAGATGAAACTTATTTAAAGATTTATGATGGCAACTTAACAGATCCAAAACTTTGTAAAACCCCTTACCAAAGAAAAAGTGTGGGAGTGATATGGCAAAACATGGGCCATATAATGACCCATATGTAGGAATGGTATGGGAAGATTGGGTGAAGATATTGGAACTGGTATTGGGCTCAACATAGTGATTCCAAGGACAGCTCAAGCCAACTTGTGTGTTCTGGTGAGTATGCAACTCAGATGTAACTTGCAACACTCTAATAAATTTGTTTGAAATAATTAAATTGAAACAAGACCATGAGAATTTACTTCTAAAAAAGCTGAGGTAGGTGAATGGTTTTGCAGTGGGGTCTATAGTTTGCAAAGTACTTGATGTAGACTATTATTAGCAAAAGGGTATTATAATATATTACAGCTTCAAATTTTAGCATTATTGTTTTTTTTTCAATTATTTCTTAGGAAGAAGCCCTGAAAAAATTTCACATCACGGATGATCCCAGCAATTAGTACCTTGCAAGAGCTGTTGATGAAGGTGAGATAACAAAGACTCTCAAGTTCAAAATCTCCATTCTCTTCACTGTCTGCTTTACATTCCTTTCCTTATAACTTTATCCTTGAGAAACTGCTTTGAAATCTGCGTCAGTTTTAAATGTTTTTCCCTCTCATCACCTTTCTGCTGGTCATCATATCACTTTTTGTGAGGAGAAATTAATTTTTGATCACTGTCATGAGCAAAAGGGTTGATTTCTTTTAAAAATGTGATTGAAATAAATCCATGTTTACAAGGTGCATTTGTTTTCTACAAAGTCTTTTAGAACCAGCATATTTTGTTGTTTTAATTTTATCATGATTTTATCTCTTGCTGTTTAAAGAGAATAAGCGTGCCCTTGATCCTGAAGAGAAACCTCACCAGTTTGTAGAAAGAAATTCATCCAAACCTTTAATCATCCTTCGAATGAAGGTAGGATTATATTGTAGTCATGACATATTGGCCCAAGAAAGTGTTCTAAATATATTCAGGTTGATGTGGTTCCAATTACATTACTGTCACGTTGACAGGTTTTTAGTAGAGGATTGAGTGATATACCTTGTATAATTATCTTGCACCTTCTCCTAAAGCAGTCAGATGCTAACTAGATCACATGATATTACTACTAACCCTTTACACCCCATCACCCATACATCAGTATGCATATTCTCCATACTGTTCTCTATAAAAAACAAAAATGAATAAAATTGTGAATTTATATTGCGCAGTCTCCATGACGGGATGATCAACTGCGCATTACAACAATGCATGAAATATATACTAATTACAGCATTACAAGAATGCTTTGTAATAGATACCAGTTATATCATGTGTAGTATAAAATATTAAAAGCTGAGCTAACTAAGAATAAAAAGCCTTAAGTACTAAAAAAATGCGTCTTTAAGAGTTTTTTAAAAGTGTTGAGAGATTTAGCCATTTCCTTTATTGCTGACAGGGAGAGTTTGCTTATCAATCAAGAGTTTTTGCAGTTGTTGATCATTTCTGTTATTCTCACGACCTTAATGTTTGAGTCAAGGGTGATACTGTAAGGAGAAATTAGATGCTAATCACTCTTTGGGTTAAAGGGTTGAAGGAAGAGAAACCTCATCAGTTTGTGGAAAGAAATTCATCCAAACCTTTAATCTTCCTTCAAATGAAGGTTAAGGATTGTAGAGATCATAATTATTGGCCCAAAAAAGTGTTCTAAATATATTCAGGTTGATGTGGTTTCAATTACATTTAATTTACTGTCACGTTGACAGGTTTTTAGTAGAGAATGGAGTGATATACCTTGTATAATTATCTTGCACCTTCTCCTAAACCAGTCAGATGCTAACTAGACCACATGATATTACTATTAACCCTATACACCCCATCACCCATACATCAGTATGCATATTCTCCATACTGTTCTCTATACATTTCCTATATTGCTGACAGGGAGAGTTTGCTTATCAATCAAGAGCTTTTGTAGTTGTTGATCATTTCTGTTATTCTCCTGACCTTAATGTTTGAGTCAAGGGTGATACTGTAAGGAGAAATTAGATGCTAATCACTCTTAGGGTTAAAGGGTTCATATTGTTGGATATGTCCATTTTACTACAGTAACTGTAACAGTGTATGTAATACTTTGTGTTCTTCTTAATTATTACCATCATGTTAATTTATTTCTGGATATTATTTTTTTATCTTATTTTTACCTCACACTTTTTGTTCTTCTTTTCCTTTTAGTTTTTTCTCTTTCATTTGTAGTCAACTACCCAAAATCTATTACTGTTTGATTTATTTAACCTGTATGTTATCCAGCCTGATCAGCTTTTTAGTTATTCTGAGTCTACTAGCCATTCCCTTTCCCAGGTGTCCTCCTATCATGATATTAAATGTTTTAAATAATATTTTTCTTGTAAACAAGGTTACAAGTCAGCATGGTTCTTTCTTTTGGACATTTAAACTTTTTCTCTTTTCATTTTTTAATCAATTCCCCACTGCAGAGTGCAGATAGACGGAAAGGATACATAAGTTGAGTTTACCCTGGAATGATAAAGTGAGTATTATTGTAATTATATAATGATCATTATTAAATTTTAATTGGCTGGTACAATGTTCATGTCATTAAAAGGATCCATTTGAATCAGGTCATACTCTTAATTTTAACCCTTTTACACCATGACATCAGAAATTACATACTCTCCATACTGTTTTGTACAACTTTCCCATGGTGCTGACAAAGAGAATTTGTTTAACAATCAATAGCTTCTTTAGTTGGTGATCATTTTCTATATTCTCGTGACCTTAAGGTGTGAATCAGGGAGGGGGGAACTGTGAGGAGGAAGTAGATGCTTGTCACTCTTTGGGGTCTCAAGGCCAAGCCCATATCTCTGAGAGATGTCGTATTGGGAGATAGGTGTGATTTTGCAGGAATCTGGCAAAAATATTCAAAGTACTCTCTGGGTAATGAAGTCTTCAATTTTGTAGGAAAGTGATCCGCTTAGTAATAAACCCTACTTATGGAGTAGTGGAATTAAGCCCTGAAAATTATTCAGGCCCGTATGGGATTTCAAACCATGACCTTTGTGATACCTGTGCAGGGCTCTAGTTCATGAAAATTGATCAGTCCCGTCTGCATTAAATTTGTTGATGCTTAAACATTTCATTGGTAAGTTGAGAGATATCTCCCTCTTAGAATGTTGAAAATATGTGTGTACTGAGTGCCTTTTTTTTTTCTCAACTTTTTAACCACGCACATGCTTCATGCAAGGACAAAACTGCATTTTTTCCTCAGCTGTGGGTGTTTAAATGTAGTGAACTAATTGTTTTGTAACATACCCAATACAGTGCGGCAGGAACACTCAAGACAATCCCAGTGACTGCACAGACGACCGTTACAGATGTGGTAAGTGTTGCTTTAGAAAAATTTGGATTGAAGGTTTGTCTCAAGTTTCGGTGCGTTGTGTCATCAATTTTTAGGGTGCTCTCCTCCCTCCCTTTCTTCCTTGCTTTCTCCCT